TTGCTAATGAGGAACTGTGATCCCCTGTAGAGGGAGAGGCGTTCTGATTTTGGGTATTCTCAGCCTTTTTAGGCTGGTTTCTTCCCTTCATTATAGATTTATCCATCGGTGGTCTTTATAATTACCGTCTTTATAGTTGGGTTTCTGAGTGGACGTCCAATGTGTTGATTCCTGGTGCTAAAATTTGAGCAACCCACTGCGCCAGCCAAAACAGCGGTGTTAAGATTGATGTTGCTTTTCTGACTCTGCACCAAGAACCGCCGCACCAAGGCAGCGGCAAAACTGCCTCACCGGCCACAAGAGTCACGCTGGCGACCCATGGGGCTCCTCCACTGGGAATCTCCTGGTGCACGAGCAGCAAAAATTCATCTGAAAGTGTGGCGTCCTCTCGTTCTCTGCGCTTTCACTGGGAGCTACAATCCCGAGCTGCTAGTGATCAGCCATCTTGGATCTCTCCTTTTTTCTAGTTTTAAACATTGTTTCATACTTACCTTAAATGCTAAGTTGTTGAAAAAATTATTTTTCTATTTTAAACCTTGTTTCATACTCTGCTGATATTACAGAAAAGTAAAACATCTGTTGCGTGGCTTTGATAAGAACTGATTAGTGCTACACCTAATTTTACATATACACACACAAAAATCTTCCTCAAAAATTGGTACATTAAGTTTGTGTGTGTGCACATGAATAGGTTTATATCTAAGCCTGTTTTAGATGCTTTCTAAGGGCTAATTATTTATATGCATCCTGGAGACAATCTTTTTAAAGAAATCTATTGGAAAAAAATGATTTACATGTTTTATTAATCCAAATTTTTGATTATTGGATTTTTGTAAAGAAAGGTATACCAAAAAAACATTTTTAATATTATAAATTATGATTAAAATAGTTTAGACTTTTTTAATCCCTAAGATTTAAAAAACAGTTCCATTCCAACAAAAACATTTCTTCATATAAACCTATGTCCTTGCAATGCCCACAGCCTTTCAGTAACCTACGTTATTCAGAAATTTTTAGTTAAAAAGACACCAGGACAATAAATGACTGTTTTATATCTTCAGCTTCATTTTAGCCTTCCTATTTTCACACCCTAGAGGTTCCAGATTTTTATCCACAAAGTGATTATGGCCTAGGACTGAATCAGATTTGTAACAAATATCCACTGGGATCCTTCCACCTATCATCAACGGGCAGAGCCAATATATGTCTTCTAGCTCACTGAATCCTTTCACCTTACCTTAGGGACTTTCTACAATGTTATATGGGTAGAAGCTTTCTTTTACAAATAACAAAAATTAATGAAAAATGATTTCAGAATAGAAAAATGGAAACCCAAGTAATTATATGCTGTCTAAAGTCTACTCTAAATCCACCCACCTTAGTGTCTAAACATTTTAATGTGTACAGAAAGGGATATTCTTTAAGGTTGTAAATCTCATTATCTCCAACTTTATCTGATTGCTGACATGCACCATTTATATTAATACTCCAATATATCCAGCCACGATAGTGTAAAACTTCTAATAGTGATCTACAATAGTCTAGAAACTATTATTTTTTTTGTTTTCCAGAAAAAAATCAAGCATAAAGCTAACAAAATGAAACTTCTAATAAGTATACTTTCCTCTAAATATAACATCAAAATGAAACTCTAACAGCAGTCATGCAATCATTTATAAATAAAATACGGACTCTTATTCTTTTTTCCTAAAAGGTAATTTGGCATGTCATTCTGTCTTTTTTAGCTATTGGTCTCAAAATGTACTTCTTCTCAAAAAAATGTAAAACATACGAAGCATTTCCAAAGAGCGAAAAGAAAAATTACAAGCATGATATTTTTATGCTATGAGCTATGCAAAAATCTGTCACCATCTATGTTACAATTCTAGTCATCAATAAGGTACTTTTTTCCAATGTACCACTCAAAAATCAATTATATCAACTCTTTTGTATAGAGAAGCAGCACACCTTTCAGACAACTAGTATTAATGAGTAGACATGACTATAGAATCTCCATCTGTTTCTCTGACAAAGCTGTGGCTACTCTAGTTTCTCATTGAAATTCCATTAATCTGGTGTACCAGGGTCCAATGTGAAAATCAAAACTCCATCTAACCCTTTATCAGCTCACAATAACCTACAAGTGAACTCTGCCTGTTAGCATGCAGCAAGTTATGATTTTGCTATCAATCAGGCAGTTGGTCAATAAAAAAAAAAAAAAGAAAAGAAAAAAAACGGCAGGCTGAAAACAACCTACCTGGCAGGGTTTGGAGACTTTGTTTTTGTTTTGTTTTCATCCCCATTCAATTTCTATGTGGTGCCTGGACCTTGTGAGATTATGCATTATTCTCCTTGCTGTGATTTAATTGCTACCAGCAATCAAGTCAAAGCATCACTGAAGTGTGCTTGAATTTCATTAAAAGATATAACTTATGCTACTTTCCTACAGTACCTAATAAACCATAAAGAAACCAAAACACATATGGCTTGAGGGAATAACTGGAAAATTAGGTGGCCATTTGGGAACTGAGTGAACTTTTGAACCAGAGGAACAGAGAAAAAGAAATATTAAAGCAAAAGACAGACTTAGAATGCACATACAGATGTGCAGGTTTGCCCTTTTCAGTACCTTGAAAATTACATTAGCATTATGAAAAATACATATCATGTTTAGAGTTTATAATCCATCAAAGTTCAGATACTTTGTTAGTGCCTACCATAAGCTAAAAGTCAAAAGGACAAAACAACAATCTGATTTGATAAAAGGCCTCTTGGTGACCTGTGCTAATTTGGTTATGCTTATTGTTAAATGCATTATCGTTTTTATAATTAATATATTATTAGACTCAGGTCACATAATGAAGGAAATTTATTTATCAAAGGAAAGGGAACATACATAAAATTGAAAGGAGAAAAAAAGTTGAAGGGAGAAAAACTGATACACTGAGATATTTTAGTGCCATGGGAAGGCATGGAAAAAGAAAAAAAAAAGATATTTTAGAGTGAATATTAAATGTCCATGTGGTAGTTTGAAATTTAATTTTAATAATGATATTCTTAGAAGAAAATGTGAAAGTATCAAAAATAGTATTATTTATATATCAAAAATGGTATTATTTACATATCAAAAATCAGTAATACTACAGGTTAAAGTTTTAATCTGCTCAATAATTGCTTAAACACTAATGAATAGGCACTAATATTTAACAAAAAACTTGATATTATATATAAATGTTAAATAATATTTTAAATCAAAAAAATAACCTTTCAACAGCAAATATTTTAGTGTATTTCCTGAATATTTGGTTATAATAATGTATGATAAATTATTTACTCTTAAAAAGAAAAAACAATCATGTAAATGCACTATAATTTAATAACAATTTACTTTTTCTAAAAAGCTACTAGAGGATTTCTGGCTCTCATAGATATTTGAATTGTTGACGTTCTTTTTAGGTTGCAAATTTTTCAAGAATACACATAGTACTCCCCTGTATACTAAAATATTTATGCTATTTTAAGAAACTATGTATATATATTCTATGAATATATTCTGTGTGTCTGTATTCTCTTAGTATAAATATTCTGTCTGTATGTGTATATAAACACACACACATTCATATATACCAACATTTTACAGAAAAATAAAGCAATTGTAATGTGTCTGAAAAACAGTACCACTTAAATAATAATTCATTGTTTTGCCTGAAAATATTATTTCTTCAATTATAAAACATGTTCTAGTAGAAATACTTCTGAAGACAAGGTTGGAAAGGATAATTCTCTGTTTTGGTATAGAGAAAAGAAATGTGTATCTCTTTAAAAGATAGAAAGTGAATATAAGAGCAAAAAAAAAAAAAAAAACCCTCCCTTTAAAAATAGAAATTAAATGTTTGCCAAAGCATAAAATTCAACATAAAATAGATACAACTATTATTGCTACACTTTGTACAAAGTTCTGGATATAAAAAAAGATTGTTTTGTACTGAATCAGTGGTTAGAATGTTTATCACTTATGCATGTACTTGACTTATCCCTGTTCTGCAATAGACATAATTTTATATCTCATAAAAGCAATTTATGTTTCCAAAGGGAATAATCTGGATAACATAAAATGTGGTGTGCTCTGTTGCAGGAAGCATATTTTCATTCAGCAATTGTATTTAGAGATGTAACTGCACAGTTTGATCATCACATAGTGTCAGAAGGTATTATTCATTTCTATGTCTATGTGAAACTTTGAGTGCTACAAATTAATATGCATAACTAATTTATTGATACACACTCTTAATTTATAACTATATATTACCCTTATAAGGTTTCTATAATGCAGATGTACTCAATGGCTATAACGGAGAAAGCACATACTACACTAAAAAGCAAGTTTCATAACTTTGGCAATATTCAATAGCTTTTAGAAATTACTAAGAGATAATTTTATTACTAATTCAGTTAACACTAACATTACAATATTACTACATAATATGAGGCACTTTTAAGTGACAATCATAAAAATGAAAATGCGTATTAAAAGAAACGTTTGATAAAAATCTGTCTCAATGTCAAAAGGCAATGTCGGAAAATTAACTTAATATTTTATGAACTCATTTTGTATAAAGTTTTCAGAAAAAAATAGATCAAAAATCTTTTTTATTATTTATAAAATAAATAATACAATAAGCCTTTAAGTAGTATAATAAAATTAAGCAAGAATCTGATAATATTAAATTAACTAACAAACTGTTACTAATAATATTCATATGATGATACAGGCACTCTCTCAAAAATTTTAGTAAAGAAAATTTCCAAGAAAAAGAACCAATTACAGACTTAGGAAAACCTCACGAGAACCACTACAGAGAGCTCTTCTGTTCCTTAAAAGGTTTTGGTAAAGTTAAGTTAACCGAAGCCTCTATATTCATCTGCTTACTTATAAAACTACCACCTATATACATAGCATTGTTTTGTGTGTCAGAGTTACACAGGAAAATGTCACATACCATCAGAGGGGGCTTCATCATCTTTTTCATATCGTTCTGAAGCTAATGAAATAGTGTCTGGAGCCCCAGCAAAAGGGTCATCATATTCGTCCCCATCTTCTGTATCACCTGAAAAAAAAATCAGATAAATGCCATTTATACTTTTGCCATTTAAAGCAATGTTACTTAATGTTACTTTGTTAAAAGAGGTAAATTTTACTACTAAATTCAGTCATTGTAGTGGAAAAACAAAGAAAACTTTTAAAACTAGGTAAAAACAGGTCTTAGTTTAGTTTATAGCCATTGTAATTTATAGTAAGAGTTTTTGAAGGTCATTCTATGACTGCTTATTTATGATACAAAAGGATACAGTCCAAAATTATAATGACCTCTACAAAGAAGAATCCAAAAAGTAGAAGCAGGGTAAAACAGAGTGTATATCCAAACAAACAAACAAAACCAAAATAATGACAACAACAGCAAAAGCCCAGGAAGCACAACAGAAAACATAATTCAGGTAACTCCATTTACCTACTCAATAATTTGAAAAATTATGAGAAACTAATAATTTGAAGCTATGTGAATATTTTGTATTTTCATTAAAAATCACAGGATTGCATTAGAGACCACAAATCTTTTATAGAAAAAACTGCTTTAAAATTAACATAATCTTTTAAAATCTAAGCAAGGGTAATTTACAAACTAGACACTTTCAGTTTCAATTGTATGTTACTATTTTTTAATGTTCTGGCCAGTTTCCTACTTGATTTTCAAATCTTAGGTTGGTTGATTGATTTTTTGATTGATTCTTTATTTTAGGCTAATTAATCTTCACAAGACCTTGTGGTTTCAATTTTTTCCATATAATCATTTAAAATATATTTTTTTAAAAACTCAAATATTTGCTAGCCCAGTTAGACACAGCATTCATTTCTCACCCAGATTTCACAACAAAGAAAAATGTATGCTTAATTCTATATTAAGTATTTGACTGTTGAATTCTACCTGACAGAAAAACAGTCACCTCAAGGATTACTCAAAAAGCAAAAGGAAAATCTCCAAAGGAACCACAGAGTGCCTATAGTATTACTTATGAACCAGAGTTCCTGGCAGATCCAGATTAAAGCTACCTGTCTCTCCAAAAAGGTATCTGTGTCCTCTGACACTCATTTGATGGGTGTCACCCTATTTGTTACCACATTTTTGGTAGAGAAAATAGCCTCTTTCAAGACAGAACTGTCAAAATAACTTTCAAAAATACATATTCCTCTCAATTTCTTTATAATTTTTCCATTTCATGAGCAATTGTCATCACAGAGACATCTCTCATTAAGACAATAAGGGCAGAACATACAGATGGCTATATTGCCATCCTTAGGGATTCTACTACTAGGTACACTAAATATGGTGATGTTTCTCCCCCAGTTAAAATTCTAAGGAACACACAAGTATTACTCATTCTTTGGAACTTAATTTCTCTTTCTTTTGAGATGTTTAAAGTCCTTTTCAGAACACTCAATGATCCCCTACAATATTTCTTATGCAAAAAAGAGTGCTAGGCTGGGGGCAGTGCTCATGTCTGTAATCTCAGCTACTCAGGATGCTTGAGGCCGGAGGATCGCTTGTGGCCAGGAATTAAGACACCGGCTGGGCAATGCAGCAAGACCACACCACGCCACTAAATAAAAATAACAACAATTAGCCAGGCGTGGTGGCCTGCATCTGTATTCACACCTGTGGGAGGCTGAAGTAAGAGGACTGCTTGAGCCTAGGAGTTTCAGGTTGAGATGAGCTATAACTGCACCACTGTGTTCCAGCCTGGGCAACAGACCAAGACTCCACCTCTAAAAAAAAACTCTTTTTAACAAAAGAAGAGTGATCTGATTTCAAACATAAGGTAGGAAAGAACTTCATAGAGTGCTAGCAAAAATATTTTGAACATGTTATGACAGTTCACTGAATATATACCAGTAGGAATGAAGAAATTCTCAGTTACTTGTAGTCGTTACAGTATTTTTACATTCCTAATAAAGTTAAGAATGTTTGTGGTATGAATTTTCTAAGAGTATTTCATATCTCACACAAAAAAGATCTTGCTGCAGAAAAAGAGTATTAGGATACTTCAAAAACATGACAACTTAGCATGTGGCATATTTTGCTATTATGACTATTTAAAAAGAATAGTAAAGCCAAAGAATATATAGTAAAGACTTTGAAAAAAATTCAGATGTTCAGTCTTAAATATATGAAATTCTATGTGTAAGTAAACAGAAAAAAATTGTTAGCTTTTAAAATTAGTAGTTTATTATCTTTTTATGTGTATGTATATATGCATTTATATACACATACATACACCCAAATGCAAACTGTATTCTTAAGAAAATACGTATAATATATACATACATAGCAAAAGTTCACTACTAAAGCTATAAATGCGATAATATTTAATATGAGTTTAGAGTATTTATTCTACACAAATCGATCACTAACATGTTAAAGACCTCTGTGGGTTTAATTTTTATTAAAAAAAAAAAATAGGCCGAGTGTGGTGGCTCACTCCTATAATCCCAGCACTGCGGGAGGCTGAGGCAGGTCGATCACCTGAGCTCAGGAGTTCGAGACCAGCCTGGCCAACACGGCAAAACCTCATCTCTACTAAATACACAAAAATTAGCCAGGCATGATGGCAGGCTCCTGTAATCCCAGCTACTCGGGAGGCTGAGGCAGGTAGAATTGCTTGAACCCGGGAGGCAGAGGTTGCAGTGAGCTGAGATTGTGCCAGTGCACTCTAGCCTGGGCAACAGAGTAAGGCTTTGTCTCAGAAAATAAAAATAAAATACTTTTGGGTTATATGTAGAATTGCAGCTTATTGCAAGTATTATTATTTTTTTTAAATCAGTGTGATATGTATATTTACCTAAGACAAAATGAATTAATACTGCTATTGGCTTCATTTCTTCCTTATTTTTTTCTACCCAGAATCCTTTGAATTAGCTCAGAAAGCAAAGAATCTATATGCCATATATACAGGGATAGTCCCTTTTTAACCTGCATTAAGTTGAAAGGACACATCATTTTTCAACATGGTCTTCTTCATCTTACTATTGTTCCAGTGATGATCCATCCCTTTTCCTCCTCCCTAACTTTTTTTCAACCCAATAAAGAGTAAAAGCTGCTGTCTTATAAGGAGTCTTAACTGAACACAGGAGTCGCTGTTGAGTAGTGCAAAGCATTTTTCCTCCCCAGGGGCTGAGTATTTGTAGTTATACCTGCAAAGACTTCTATAAATTAAAAGGAAAATGTTCAACTTGTGTTTATGTAATAGAAAACTGAACTCCAAATCAACAATAGGCATCAGGTAAACGTAGCCAATACAATTTACAGACATAATTGAAAGCATTACAGCCTAATCAGACATCTAAAAGAAAAGCATGCTCAAATGAAATGTCTACAGAATCATTAGCTGGCAGCCATTCTATTACAATCACACATAATGTCAGTGGTGCCGTGGGCCTGTACCAATGACAACAGCATAAATTTTGCATCTCATTTCTGTGGTAATAAAATTAATGATCAGTTTAAAAATACTTCTTTGTAAAAGTTATTGCGCAAAGAAAAGACATGAATGTGTCCCTGTTATGTACTCACAAGGATAATTATGGGGTTGTTGCTCATTGATACTGTTTCTTGTTTCCCTAGAAAACCATTTGATTTATCCTACAACTTTCAAAAGTTTAATTAACAATTCAAAGTTAACAGAATAAAAGACAATGATCCAAGACTTCCCTTCCTATAATTTCAGTAGTAACAAACATCACAACAAACCTAAGGTTTAATCATACTACAGCAGCATATTTTTCTGAAAAACATTTTAAAATTTATACTAGCTGGGTTCAAATTACTATTAGCCATTCTTTTTGATATGGTTCATTATCAATTAACATTTTCTGAAATGCCTAGAAATGTAGCCCAGCAACAAATGAACAATCATAATCTCTACAACCATTGGAGCTGATTTACTCAATTTGTTGCTTGTTTTTTCAAAACAGTCCTACTTTAAACACAATCAGGTAATCGTGAAATGAAGTAATACATAGGTTGAACATCCTTAAATCAACAGAACTCCAAAATGTTCCAAAATCCAGAACTTTTTGATTGTCAACATGACAACACAATGGAAAATTCCATACCTAGAATCTTAGCTTTCTGATGGTACAAATTACAAGGTATATATGAAACATAAATAAATTTAGTGTCTACACTTAGGTCCTGTCCCCAAGATATCTCATTATATATGTGCAAATATCCCAAAATCCAAAATCTGAAACACTTCTGGTCCCAAAAATTTTGGATAAGGGATATTACTCAACATGTACCTAAAATCTGAATGACAACCATTCCTTCTTACTGAATGACAAATGGGGGGAAATTAGCAAAAATAAATTAATTTCTAATTCTCTACTTAGCTCACTTATCTAATTTTTTAAGTAATAATATATAGCTAAATATACATAATTAAGCATTTAACTTGTCATTTCTTCAAGGAAGTTTAATTCTTAAGGCTTTGAAGGATACAGGTCACTAAAAAGAAGATTCTCTTCATAATTCTTCTACAATAGGAGGGCTAACTTACAGCATGCAAATACTAAAGACAACTTCTAGCAACAAACTGAAACAGAGCTTTAAAATAAGAATATCACTTTTCAAGCACTGCCTATGAAATATACTTCTACTACTGTAGGTCCCATCATTTCAAACATGCTCAACATTGTTTGTAAAAGGCCAATGGTGGGGGTAGGTGGCAGAAGGAAAAAGCTGTGAATTATTTGCTAAGATTTCATTGTGGAGTTATCTTTCAATAGAAAACACGCTATGTTAGGAAGGGTAAAAAAAGGAAATTAAACATCATCCAAACTTCAGAATTTTGGCTATCTTCTTCCGCTATTCTTAGTTCATTAATAAACTTAAGAAATAGTATGAGTGAGAAGGCCAAAGGAAATTGCTTTCTAAGTAAATCTATGCATATTTTAAAATATCAATAAAATCTTAAGGCAAAATCTATTAAATACATTTTTTTATAATTAGAGCAAAAAGATTTTAAAAGAGAAAATGAGACTTTTAGCTGTAGC